ACAGATGATTCTCATATCGTGCACAGTTTAGCTTATTTTTAGCTTCTTCTTCTTCTTATTCTGTCGGTCCGTTGCGCCCAGGCTTGAATTTAGCTGAGATCTAAACACGTGTGGCAAGCGTTCAAGGATGTACTTCCTCAAAAAATTTTTAGTAGAAGCATCGAGCAGCAGCAGATATTTCAACAATGCGAATAAGTTGCAGGTGACACAATGCACATTTGATAATTACTGATTATTATAATTGAATTTTCAACCAAAAATTAAACTCTAATAATACAAGTTAATCTATGAAGCTTATTTAAATTAGTTGTTTTACATGTTATTATTATGTCTGCATGGTAGGGAGACTGTTTACACCATTCGACGAACGAGAAAAGACGAAGCAAAAGAATTATTTCGTCATCACAATCGCGCTGTATCATCAAAATCAAATTTACTACTATTGATATTGACTCAAAATTATGAATAATTATTCTCGTGTTTACACTCGTGAACATTTTATTCTTTCATATTTTCAAATGCATGCCACAGAATTGTTTTTTTACTGCGTTCCAAAACTAATTGCATGACATAACTTAAATTAACCAAGCTAGGATTTACGGTTAATCACTTCATTCGAATTGACCCGCATGAAAATATTGCAATAATTAATACGATGTAAATAATTTCTTTCCCCAAACCTGACCCGCGGGCATGAGCAGCAATATTCATGAACTCATTGCCTGTAATATTTGTTTGAGATGCCGAGGACAAACAAACTTTAAGAGGAGGTTAATCATTCGACATGGAGCGGCAATGCATCAAATGATGCGCACGAAGCTGAAACGCATTCTTATTTTCATAGTCCAGCGCCGCAAGCCATTCCTCAAAGGCAAACCTACTAACTTTTTAATGCTTTTTATCCTAAAAATCTGATGTAGGCCTCTTACTAATTCAGGGGATCCAGGATGAGTTTTTGTCGGTCCGGGTTCTCTGATCCCTGTAAAGGAAATATATTAAAAATCGACAATACTGTGAGGTTTTTCTTCCAGCCATTATAATGCTCGCAAGATTCCCTTTCGACAATTTTTTTATTCTAGCTCAGTGAACTTTTTGGTTTTGTTTTGCGACCTACCTTCGCGAAAAGGCTTTTTCGAGCACGTTTGATGCTGCACAAAAGTTTCATGTATTTTTTATATACATTCGATACCTTGGACGACTTGGACGTCTGTGGAGCCTTGTATTAGAAAGTCACTTTTGCGCGCCTCAAAAACAATTTTCTTTCCACGAAATGCATTGCTTCATTAACATTTATCTGTAATGCATGGATTAGAGACGAAAATCGAGCATTGACTGCTGCTGTGATTTTGCTCCTGACACTTTTAATGACATACCTACCTGGGCTTGTTACTGCGCTGGTGACAGTTTTGGTGGGCTTGTTACTGCGCTGGTGACAGTTTTGGTGGGCTTGTTACTGCGCTGGTGACAGTTTTTCTTGTTGGACTGCGGAATTTGTACATCGAGTAAAAATTCTAATCTCCAAAATTGTTCATTAGCCTATTTCTCTTCAGTGTCTTGCAGTTGCTATAATTGCTAGCTCTCAATATTCGTCGCCGTTGATTAATAAAAGTTATGTGAGTGTCAGACGAGTGGCTTCATTGCCGTATTAAAAATCTAAAACAATTCTTTACTTTTTTTTATTGTCAGGTGATGTGAAATTTTGGATCGAATTCTGCATTTGATCACCAAGAAATTTTTTGTCAAAAAAGTTAATCACAATAATTTAAATAATTTAAATAATTTCATAAATACAATCCATTGGACATATCTTGCCCATGTTAGGTATTAGCCCGCGATAACTTACTCATTTCCTGTATTAGGTCGAGAATTAATTTTTTAAAGTTTTGTAATTTTAAAAAGTTTTGTATTTTCCAAAAGTTTTGTAATTTTCAAAAGTTTCGTAATTTTCAAAAATTTAATAATTTTCGACAACTTGTAATTTCGTACTCATTCTTTAATGTCCATTAAATTAATTTCTCCTCTTGGCACCATGCACAGATGTCTGCCCCACTGTATATGCACGTGGCTCCTTCAAACCCTTCGCTATAGTTTCTCTTGGCTCGTCACATTTACTTTCAAGTTGCGAGTTTTACTTCTTGGCGCGAGTTTCATTCGAATTCCGTACGTTCGCTGGAATAATTTCATTTCGGACCATCGCCATGGACGTTGTCAGCAATTACAACTCTCAAAAGTGCCCTGGCATTACTGCTGCATTTCCTTGAGCGTCTCAAGTAGAACCCTAATTTGGCTCCGTTCCCCGCTGCTATTCCGCAAACTTTAATCACTCAAATGAATAACATCAATTCTCGGTCTTGTTGCATTTTGGCTGTCCCAGCTTATCCAATTATTTTGCATTCCCCTCGTGTCCTGCTTTAGCATTCTGTCGCTCTTCTCCCATGCGTTCCTTCTCCTTATCCGCGATCCCCATTCCGACTGAATCTTTCACCCTTTCCTCCCGCCCTCACCCCCTCATCATCACCCTCTTCCAGTGCGTCCACCAGTTGAAGGAATTTCTTAACTTATGAGGTGAAAATCATATTATATTATTAATCTATCTGCAATTTTTCATCATAGTAGTTATGAATTAATCCAATATAGTTTAACCATAATGCAGTAAATTTTCCGTATAATTTCTGTGCAATTAGGTCCGTCATTGAGCAATATTGGCGAAGTTCTACTCTTGTCGCTCATTGCTCCCCTTCACGCCGTGTTTTTGCAGGAGGGCGAATGAGACCCTCCCTTAATTCCGATTATGGTGCATGTTCAAGTTGCCACTTTGCTAGCTTGCAACGCAGTGCAAAATAACCTTACTTGTGATCTCATGAATATAGCCTTTCGTACTGAGAACTCTCAAACATACACAAGTAATCTTACTAGTATGGGATTTCATTTAGCAAAGCAGCATTGCCTACCTAGCTGAAAGAGATTGACTTTTCAGGTTTTGCAACACCAATGAACTTGAACACTGATTGGAGGAAAATGTTTTTCGGCAAGTGATGTTTGCAGTCGCAAGTATATATTTTTCATAAAATTTAACTCCTGGAAAATGGTATAAAACGGTGTAATTTGATCCTATGATGTTTGTTTCATCGTGAAATGAAAATGTCAGTATTTGCGCATGACGGTGGACATTCCATTACGTCGGACTTCCTGAACCGTGGAGATCTCGAAACAAGCTCATATTTATTTGATTAGAATATGTAGAATCTGTTCAATCGACCTTTAATTTAATCTCCGGCCAAAGTTAACCCATAATCGAATGACTCACAAAATGCCTGCAGTTTATTTTCGTTTGTGGTCAATATGCTTTGAATACAATTTTGCTGCTAATGGAAAGCTCCATTTTATTCTACTTTATTATGACATTGTTTTCATAAGCTCATTCTGATATTGAAGATTCGATGCGTTTGGTGATCACTGGACGGAAAGTTTTAGAATTAACGAGCAGAGAGACGCTGCCTATATTTGTTTGTGTTCACCATTGCCATATTTGATAAATAATTTGAATACGACAAAATATATTGATTAAAACCACAATACTTGTTACGTCGCTTGTCGAGTATTGGAAATTACGTGCCTGAAATTTACTGGCCGCAGCAACTGGATCAGCATTTGAGATTATGAATTGTCGAATATCTGAATAGGTTGGTATAGGCTGTAAACGTTAAATTGAAATAGCAATTCTCTTTTATGATACAGAGAAATTGCAAACGTTCTAAGTAATTTTCTTCCAACCAGTAAGAAATACAAACTTAGACTGAACTCAATTTCACCGATGTTGATACAACTTAACAACTCAAGATGGTATGTAAAAGTCTGGCACTAAGCCTCTCTAGCGCTCAAGATCACCGAGTTTGACTATTGAATTCCTAGACTGAAGCGACTCCAGTCTTTTATGGACACATTTCAAATGTTGCCGCATGCAGCCAATCACCGTCGGCTTGCCTCAGTTTCTCAGCATCCTTGTTCGTTTCCAATAGATTGTTACGTGTCCATTTACTGAGCTTTCTTTGATGGAAATAACTGGTAAGCCGAGTGAAGAACTGCTTCTTTGATTAGCAATGCAAACTTACGGCTTCCCTGGTGCAGCTTCGTTAATTGTAATCTCTGTCAAAACATTCCCAGCGGTGGACAATTATTCGGTACGTTATCTTGAGGAGGGAACTCACCACTGGCATTTATTTTACCTAAGCTGCACTCGTTGATGCTTGAAGTGAGCGTGTCTGGGTATGGCAGGGGCAAGTAAACGAACAATTCATCCATTTTGTTACCTGTATAGAATGAAAAATAAAAAAATCAGGCGTAAAATGAAATTAGGATGTTGAGTTGGACTGCGAAAATATATATTAGGACGATTTTTAAAATATATTCATTTTCTGTTCACAGCTATGGAGCAAAAAAAATGGTGCCTTGAAATTATTACGATTACTCGAAATTTCTGCCCCGCACAAGTCACATATATTTATCGGAATTTATTGTTATGAAAAAATATGTTCAAAAGAAGGATTGAAATGATGCATATATGTGTTCTCCTGCAGGTCTGGAGCGCGTTCTCGAAGAGATGATGGGAGAGCCTCTCAGTCTCAAGATTCGTTCTGATCTTTACTGCAACTCCAGCCACCCGACGCCTCTGAACCCAACAAACTTCTCGTCGCTGCAGACGACCTCGTCTCATTTGGCATCTCTATCCCCGCACCCAGTTAACGTTTTGAAGCCAACAACGACAACAATCCAACAAGAAGTGTTCACAATCTCATCTGCTCCTAACGTGGTACCTCAAACCCTACCAGCTTCAGCCTACGTAACATACCCCAACAACACAACTGCAAACCACGCGGCCAACTGCAGTGCTCTCAAAACGAACACCTTTGACGCCCATGCATACACTTCTCCAGCAAATCATCAATCGCCTGAAGCACTCCTGAGGGTTCCGGGACGGTTGTTCGCTCCACGCAAAACGCCATACGTACCTGCGGCCGCAGATCATACTGGTGTCGGTAATCTTCACCCTTCTCACAGATACCAAACTCCTATTGTATCCAAATTCCAGACGCAAAAATGTTATAACGCTGAAAATGATACCCCAGTAAATTCTGCTGATTTCAGTTTAAATTCAATTGCAAAAACTTCCACACGGCATCCTACTCTGAACTTTGAGGGCGGCGTAGAATATGTTTGTCAACCCCACATCAGTGGCCTAAGTCAACCATTACTACTACAACCTCATATCAGTGGCACAAGTCAACCATTACTTCCACAAACTCATAGGACCTCTTCTTCTCCGCAAGAGCAGATTTCAGGCGAATTTGCTTATCCTGTGACGACATCAAGTGTCAGAATGCCTCCTACTGCAGCAATGCAAGTTTCTAAAGATCCTTCTTTGGGACCATCATCGTCACCTCCAAATTCTGTCGGTTCAAGTGTACTTGCCGACGATAAAATGGCGATGGTTGATGTAAACAGCTTTTCCGCAAACGACTCTCAATCAGCAGCATCTTTAGCTGCAAACATCTCGGCAAGTGCGACTACTACCACAACCCGGGCATCTCCTTCTCTGGACGCGGTTGCCGGTCACAGTAGTTCAAAGGGTAATCACACCCCAAGCTCCTCTACTCATGGTACATCAACAGAAACTTTTGTGAAAGACTCAAGTGTTCTGGAGTCAAACTCATCGACAAGAAGAAGCTACGAAGAAATGTGTTCATCGCTCAAGCAGATTTGGAACGTCACGAATGCCTGCTCAGCTTGCAGCAGCCATTTGCAAACGGTGAGATCGACTTCCCAATGTCTGCTTATTACTGTTTCCATTGCAACTGAGTGAAATATTTGATCATAATATTTTTGAAACCCCAATTCATGTGAAGTTCTTTATTGCTAATGTTTTTTGCAGGTGGCATCTTCATCAGCACCGCACGCAACTTTAGCTACCTTTGGTACAAGCAGGAGCTCAGCATCGGAGGTTGGATACAATGACGCAAGAAGCTTCCAGTACTCTTCTCAAGCTTCTTTGGAAGCATGCAACAACAACGCGGGGACAATAATAAACCATTTAATTAAAGTTTCTGAACCTGAGAACCTCGGTGAAAAGCATGTCGCCAACAAATTGTCGTGCGACGTTCAGTCGACAGAAGCTCCACAAGAGCGTCTCTCGAGCTCAGCTAAGGAAGAGGGAGTCTGTGATGGCAAAAATGATTACGACGTGAATGATATCATCGATGTAGTGTCTGTCCGTGAGGCAACATGTACGAAAACAACCGAAACTATTCCGGGACAACATCCTACTTTGAAAATAGACGAGCCAAATTCACGGCCGTTCAGCCAACCTCTGCAGATGTCGATGACGGTGCGTAACGAGGCCATCAAACAGCAGATGTTACAAGGCTGTCTAGTGAGCTCCAGAATTTTCACAAAAGAATTGACTCCTCACAACAGAGTGAGTCAGTCAACACAAGAAGCTCCTTGTCCATCTGCTTCAAGTAACGAAACCCTCGATCTGTGTACTCGGCCTAAAGCTTCCCCATCGAACTCAAATTCTCCGCACTTGCCATCAACCGGGCCCATCGATATTCAACCTTCGAGTCCTGACAATCAGCATGACCAGAATGCCCTCTCCGCTTCAGCTCCAGGCAATTCAAATGATCAGCCCAGAGATCAGGCACCCCATTCTGGGACTTTTTCTATCAAAAGCTCGTTGTCAGGAGACTTTTTCTCAGTAGCTAGTCTTGCGCGCAGCAGCAGCTGCAACAGCGTTGTTGAGGAGGACAGAGTAGGAAGTTTTCCCTGCGCTCCGACGAGCAACCTTCCACCCCACATCCTAGCTTGGCTTCTCGGCTCCCAGCTAAATCCCCTGCATAGGATGCAGGTGAGCGAAATCTACGCATTATAGAAACCAGAATATATTCTCTTATCCTTCGGTAAGTATTCAGCTTGAAAGGATTGTCTCAAGATTTTAATCATAAATCCAAGCTCAAATTAGCCTATTTATTACGCGAAGAACTTAAAATCCAACTTCTGAAGTAATAAAATATGTATTTCTTTTAAAATATTGATGCCAACCAGAACACAGTTTGCTCGTAGGCATCGCCCAGAGCAACGCTGGTATGTCATTACAAAACCAGAACGCATACAGGTTCATAGCGAGAATGAATGGAAATGCGTTTTGTACTGAATTAATCGTTCTGTTTCAGATCAAGTTTGTTCCATAAGCGAGGTCCATACAAGGTCCAGAAATTTATCTCCACTAAGTTTCTTTGCTGGCCATATTACCTAGCATGAAACAAACGAATAAAAAAAAAAAACGACGGTTTTGCACGAACAATGCACAATTTTATTAACGGATTCAACTCGAGAGTTGTGATGCGAGCGTTTCATGCTTAGTAGCTCGTGCGTGACGTAGCAAAACTTCAGAGTATCTTTGAAGCTCGAATCCCAGTAACTGCGAGCTGCAAACGGAGCAGAATTACTCAGCTTAGGGGATGAAGGCCATGTCGCTAATGCGAGCTGAAACGCAGCAGAATTACTCAGCTCAGGAGATGAAGGCCATGTCGTTACTGCGAGCTGCAACGGAGCAGAATTACTCAGCTTAGAGGATGAAGGCCTTGTCGCTACTGCGAGCTGCAACGGAGCAGAATTACTCAGCTCAGGAGATGAAGGCCATGTCGCTGCTGCGAGCTGCAACGCAGCAGAATTACTCAGCTCAGGGGATGAAGGTTGTGCCTACAAATTGGTACGAGTCTCGCCTAACTCGCTCAGCACCTCATTAGCTCCTCACCTTTATTGCCTGGCGCGAGTTGCGCGATACAAACTTATGAGTGCGTCGCTCGGTGTCACTGCGACTTCTTAAGGCTTTCTCGCCAATTTTGTTCTCAGAATCTGCTTAATTTCGACTCGTTTGTTGCACAGGGCAAAATAACGTAATATTCGCAGCTCGCGAGCATGTCGCTCTCACTATAAAATATTAGGAGCCTTTAACGGGCAACACTTATTTACAAGAATTCTGAACAATTCCTCGAGCAAATTATGCATTTGTGTTAAAGTTATATTGAATACTTGTGTTCATTATCCAGCTGGTCAATCTGAAATGTATCATAAGGTAAGTTCGGTAAGTTCGTTATTTCACGGTTTCTTAAGTACCAAATGACCAGTTACTCACCATATAATTAATATATTTTTCATTCCTGTTGCAGCATTCCTTGAATACCATGGCTATCCCGAACTCATCCCTACTGGGGTTGAGCTCGTTGTACTCCCCCTCCCCCGCGGTGTCCCCCGACGAGCCTCTCGACATCAAGCCCCTCGACCTGAGCTCGAAAGCCTCGGGGTCGCCAGACTCGCCCATGGTTTGGCCGCTGGACGCCGCCCGGCCCTCGCATCCACCTACCGCTAAGCCATCAGTTCTGGGCGCCGTGGGCTGCCTGACGTACGACGGCGACGCAGACAGCGGCGGCAGGGCGGTGCTCAGGTCCCTAGGGGCGAGCGGACCAGCGGCTACGCCCCCGCTGCCTGAGCCTCTCTCTACCGAGGACCTGATCACCCGCGTGCTGGAGGCTAAGGCCTCAGGCAGGTAATTGAGAATATAGTTCATAGTATGTTAGGAGGGCACACTTTGAATGTACATGATATAGGATTCATATTATGTTGGAAATTGGTTTTCATTATTTTGGATAAATGATTGTTGGAACACTCGCCCGGATGAAGCGCCGGAAAACACTCATCACATCCACGAGCGTTTAATAAAATTCATATAGGAATAAGTACCCTTCAAACTGGTCTATATTACTTGCCACTAAGTAATGTAGGTATTACTTGTAGACTTGCCACTAAGAATGGCAAGTAATACCTACATGGTATTACTTGCCATGAAACCTTTCATGATAGGGAAGGCTAAATATCGAAATGACGTCTGAATATTTCCAAGTTAAATCTTGTGGTAATAATTTTATTTGATTTTTATTAGATGAAATATCATATAGTTTATTGACGCATGGGCCAAAGAGTAAGCGAAAAACGTAAAATATCGACGTCGTGATTGAGATTATGAAAGATTATGATAAAGTCTGATATTACAATGTTATTTCATGAATATTCTACCTTATAAAGATCATAATTTTATTATTATTCGATGCATTTAACGACCATAAATGCGACAATTATATTAAAATTTTATTGAATACAATTACAACGGAATGAATGTGATCAATTTATTACGACACGTTTAATTACCTTCACGGACAAATAAGAGAGATTAATTTAACGAACAGAGGGCGGCGTCGCACGGACCAGAGCAAGCGGTCCTACACAGACACAGAACTGCAGGCCGCTCTGCGGGACATCCAGAGTGGCAAGCTCGGCACGCGCAGAGCTGCCGTCATATACGGCATACCGCGCTCCACTCTGAGGAATAAGGTGAGTTCTGCAGCACAGCGCTCTGCACGACTGATGGTTAGCTCTGCAGCAGAGCACTCTGCACGACTGATGGTTAGCTCTGCAGCAGAGCACTCTGCACGACTGATGGTCAGCTCTGTAGCACAGCGCTCTGCACGACTGATGGTCAGCTCTGTAGCACAGCGCTCTGCACGACTGATCAGCTCTGTAGCACAGCGCTCTGCACGACTGATGGTCAGCTCTGCAGCACAACGCTCTGCACGACTGATGGTCAGCTCTGCGGCACAGCGCTCTGCACGACTGATGGTCAGCTCTGCAGCACAACACAGCACGCTGCTGCTTCTGTAGGCGCTACGTAGGCAATGTCAGGTGCAGACACCCGCCATCCAAGGCAACTCTGCGGCAGTGATGGAGGTTTTCAACAGCGCATCTACTTACTACTGGTAGAGAACAATATAAGCGCAATGTATTGTATAAAATGTACTCTTTTTAATGGGAGGTCTATAATCTAGTGCACAAATATCGCGGACCGAGCGATGTATGATATGATCTACTTTAAGGACGAGCGGCCTGCTGTGATGAATTATCTTACGTACGGCGCTAGCAATATGTTCTATGCAAAATTATCTTAGGTATTACACGAGCAATACGTTCAATGCAAATTATCTTACGTACGGCGCTAGCAATACGTTCAATACAAAATTATCTTAGGCACGGCGCTGGCAATACGTTCAATACAAAATTATCTTAGGCACGGCGCTAGCAATACGTTCAATGCAAATTATCTCAGGCACGGCGCTAGCAATACGTTCAATGCAAATTATCTTAGGCACGGCGCTAGCAATACGTTCAATGCAAATTATCTCAGGTACGGCGCTAGCAATACGTTCAATACAAATTATCTTAGGCATGACACTAGCAATACGTTCAATACAAAATTATCTTGGGTACAGCGCTAGCAATACGTTCAATACAAAATTATCTTGGGTACAGCGCTAGCAATACGTTCAATACAAAATTATCTTGGTACAGCGCTAGCAATACGTTCAATACAAATTTATCTTGGGTACAGCGCTGGCAATATATGCATTAAATACAAAATTATCTTAGCTACAGCGCTGGCAATACATGGATTCAATACAAAATTATCTTAGGTACGGCGCTAGCAATACGCATTCAATACAAAATTATATTTGGTACGGTGCTAGCAATACATGCATTCAAGGCAAATTATCTTAGGTAAGGCACTAGAAGTACGTTCAATAGAAAATAATTTTGTGTACGGCGCTGTCAATAAAATTCCATGCAAAATTCATAGGCTCCGACATGTCTTAAAATAAACTCAGAAATTATTCATTCCTAGATTTTAGTGACAGCAATTTTCTTAGTTGAAATTAACTTAGTTGCAAAACGGACAAATATGTGCTGAAATAAAATGCATTAATTTCGATACATATAATTGCAATCCGCCATCGCTCGGTGTGTCAGTCTCAGCATATACATGAGTGAATGAAGAGCGTCTACTCAATATTCGATGAGTAAGAAATGTTTTCGGCATGCCAATAAATGTGTTTTTTGTGTCTTGTACTGGATTTTTGACATTAGTGAAACTTCCGTCGATACTCAAATGAATCCAACAGTTTACTGGTGCGTTTCTGTCGAGCCAACTATTGAATGTAACAAAGACTCGAACCATAATAAATATAACTACATAATTTCAGCCGAATGATAAAATAACTTAAGAACGATCTAATCCGGGTTAAATGAGTAAGAAGAAGTAATTAATGCGAACAGTGATATATGCTGCATTATACGGTGATTCTGTCAGAGACATTAGAATTTTCAGTTTATGCAGCAAAAAATTGTCCTTCATGTCCATGGGCATCGCAGAATCTCGCAATACATGCGCATGCTCGAACTTCTCACCAAATATGCGAATAAAATAAGGCACGTGACGGCTGTTCATTTTGACTGCGTTGAGGCGGCGTTTCGTCTTGACATGCAAGTGACCCGCATGACACTAACTGCATTGGACCAATTTCTCGCTTGGGTGACTCACAACCACTCAAATCTCGGCCCTCTTCCGGGACTCGTGGGAGATGCTTTTGTGGCAGGTCTCTCGTATGACTTTTGTGGCAGGTCTCTCGTATGACTTTTGTGGCAGGTCTCTCGTATGACTTTTGTGGCAGCTCTCGTTTGACTTTTGTGTCAGGTCTCTAGTATGACTTTTGTGGCATGTCTCTCGTATGACTTTTGTGTCAGGTCTCTCGTATGACTTTTGTGTCAGGTCTCTCGAATGACTTTTGTGGCAGGTCTCTCGTATGACTTTTTTCATCATAGTGAAATGAATATGAACGCAGCACATAGGCGTTATACTATAAAGACAAATATGAAGTTAAATCATTCGAATCATCAAACAACTCGGTGCTAGTTATTTAAAAATTTCACACGTTTATTTGTTGTGTGAAATGATAATAAAATAATGTCAAAACTTACATCCAAACACTACTGCTGATACATCTACAAAGAAGGGAGCAGAGAATGAAAAAAATAAATGAAACTAATTATTAAATTCATGGTCAAATCAGTTCTCCTAACGAGTAGGATCAATTATGTATTTCTTATTTTCCAAATAAAAAAAAAATTTCCCTCATTAGAAGATGCAATCTAACGGCGCGTGAATTTCATCCTTCAATTCGCGCGTAAAATTTTTGAGATGATTCATTCCCCACAATTTTTACTCAGAAATATCAAACTTTCTATTAATACGCAAAATTTTTCAGGTATACAAGTTGGCCATTGAGAAGGAGCGAGCAAAGAAGGTACTGGAGCAGAACGCGGCGGAAGCGATGACGCTGTTGCCGATGCCAGAAGAAGCGGCTTTCACTTCATCCGAGACGCTACGGGCTCTCATTAGGAATAAAATGGCGATCAAACTGGAAGAAATTACAAAGATTTCGCCATCTGATTTACATTGCAGGGACGAAGAAGTAATGGATCGAAGGCAAGCACAAGATCCAGCACTTGCTCACCTCATTGAGAACATCACATCTCTTGCCCTCAGTACCGAGCGCTCAGAGATACTGGACAACCTCATGAGCTCGCTCTCTCTGTACCCCAAGCTAGAAGACTTCGCTAAGCGAATGATCGAGAAACGATACGCGGAAGAAATAAACAGGAGCAAGCTGGCAGTAAGCGATTCGCTGCGAGGAATGACGCATTTGACAGGAACCACGTCAATTTCGCCTGATCCGAGTCTCGTGATTCCTTCATATGACCCTGCCGGCAATTCATACTCAAGTACGTTCGATCACAGCGCTAAGCCTCTTTCAGAACCTAGTCAAGGTTTCGCTCGTCCAATTGATCCTGCTGATTTTAAAGTCATGATCACTCACTACATGAACCAGAAAAACGGTGCGGCTGAATGCACTGGACGTCCAGTTGTGCGAGATGATCTTTCGAGTGGCGAGAAACTTCCCGAAATGAGGAGCCCCACAGCTATTCACGCATCCGCTGCTCCAGCCAAGGAGAAGAGAGGCAAGAAGCGTGCAGGATCTCCTGTTAGCAGTTGCAGCAGCGGAGGTAAGGGATCGAGGCCGAAAAGAGGCAAATATCGAAATTATGACCGAGAAAATCTTATCAAGGCTGTACAAGCTGTCCAGAGCGGGGAGATGTCCGTTCATCGAGCTGGAAGTTTTTATGGCGTACCTCACTCTACCCTTGAGTACAAAGTAAAAGAAAGACATTTGAATCGTAATAAAAAGAAAGACGGTGCACCTACAACTCCCACTGCCACGAACCCAAATACTGTTAAATCTATACCAGCTCTTTCAGGTCGCCCGACCATGGTACCTCCTCACTCATTCTCATTAGAGAATACAATGTTTGGCAGAGAATTTTCTCATGCTCAGGAAGAGGCTGCTGCCACCATTGATCTCACTGAGGATGATGGAGCGAACGTACTCACTAACGACTTGAATGACACCTACAATCTAACGAAAATGAAGTTCGATGTCCTCGATATGGACGACAATAGCGATTCTCCTAATTCAACCCAAGTGAATCCCTTCAACCTCTGGAATTCTCCGTCTCCTCTCATTCCATCTTTTCTTCCTAATCCTTACGAGCGTGAATCATTTTACGCGTCTCAGATGATACGAAGGTTTCAAGAAGCGGCAAGCAGTAGTTTCCAAGACAACTTTCAGGAACAAAATTCAAGCCGTTCGCCCGTAGTTCATCGTTCAGAACAAGAAAGTCCAATGCAGGGACAGTCATCGGGATCCTGCTCACCAAATTTAGAGAAGGCTCGCCCTGGGACAGATAGTGACACATCTGTCACGAATAGTAGTGTCTTGGACGCCCTATTACGAGGCAAGTCCCCTATTGAGGCCGCGGCAGCCGTTTCAGCAAACCCTGGCTCTCCCCAGCCGTCGTCTGACATCGTGTCCAACCCTTGGTCAGTCTCTTCCCAACTTTTGAACTTGAGCAAACGGTTAACAGAAGTTCAAGAAGAAAACTTAGATCTTGTCACTCAACAGTCGCCGAGCATTTCAGCGATAAATGCTCTTCGTTCGCTTGGCCTTCAAAGTTCACTAGCAGCAGCGTTGAGGAGGCAAGGTCCATCTGACGTCCAGTCTAGAGAAGCCCACGATATGGAAGCTGCTAGTTCATCTCGGTCTCAGTCAATCTCCGAAGCTGTGGCGAGTGTTCCGGAGAACGTCGCTCCATCATTTGATGTTCAAGGAAATAACATCTGCATGGATGACGACCTTGCTTCAAGCAATAATAATTATCTTCGTGAAATTGACGACAACGAAGGCAAAGTAACGAATAGCCCAAACGAGACGGACTCCTCAGACTGAGTAATGGCGAATGTGCGTCGTTTACTGGCTCTAAAAGAAAGTGTTTTCGATGTGCGATCTCTCATGTACTATCTTATGTTTGTGTCAGCTTGTGCTCGCCGGTGAGGCTCCTTCATGTTCACGAAGGGATTTGTGGATAATAGTTGCAATTGTTGTTTTATCTCTTCAAATACTCTCATTGATGTGTCACTGGTGCTTGGCGTTTTCAACTTTTTGAAGCCATGACGATTCTTGTTATTGAAATAGAATGTAAGAAGGATTTTAACTGAAATTTATGGAAGCAGAAACTTCAACAATAAGAAGTGGCATTACAGTGGAGCTACGTTCAGTAGAACATAATGTGAGGAAATTTGTGGCTGATGTGTACTTCCTTACTTCATCCATGCAGCCCGTTGTTTTATCATGAAATGTTAATAAAGTGTCTCTAAGTTCTCCGCTATATCTGAAGAGGACTTACTTCAACTGTTGTAAATTAAAACTGTTGTACGCTTTGGAGAAGAGTGTAGTGAATTGTCTAATTTATTGCTCAGTTAATGTACGGTACATTCCCATTTCGTGAGGCCTAAATAGAAAAGCCTTAGCAATTCCAAAAGTTTAGGCTATAGCTTTGTTGTTTACTGCACTGTCAGCTTTGATGACAAGGGGGTCGATTGTGTGGTGGAGAACGCCAATGGCCAGCCTAGCATGATCTGGAGTTAAGTTTTTGTCGAAGAAACGCTAGAATTTGTATAACTAGTATCGGGAGGCCAGGGTCACTGTAGTTTTATATCAGTGTTTCAGTATAAGCGTTTCAAGACTTTCGTGTGTTAACTCGAAGCAATAAGTTGATGGGAGGGTGTGTTGCTGCAGTGATGAGGATTATCACTATTATATCATACTCCTTGCTTCACTATTTTCTTTGACATCTTCGCTGCGTAAGCAATTCTTATCAATATACTCGTTTCTTTTCTTGCTTAACTCGACAAAATTCCTTGCAATTGGGAGTGAATTCTGACAAAAGAACTCCAACAATATCTCGGTTATGGACCAACATTTCAAGGACCTACCTAAACCAAACCAAGCAAGTAATGAAAGGTTTGATCTGTCCTAACTTACGCATGTGTTCGGGAATTAAAAAATGGCGTTACTTTTGTCGTCTCAGCAACCGTACGATGTTCTAATGATCAAGGTCTGCAGCCTGGAGTGTTTGTCCGGCATTTTGGCTCGTTCAATGATCCCTTGATACTGCAGTGGGTGAAGGACCGTGAAGCTTCATCTATAACTTGTGATTCATTAGGTTGTAAGTTTAGAGTTTGTTAAGTAGAGTGTGTAGTGGACTAGTGGTCTTTCTTCTCTAGAGTTAGGCGCCGTGTGCAATAATTTCTCTGGTTGTTGGTCCGGTACTTAGGACGAAGTGAAAGCAGCAGCAATCATATTGAAATAACTGCATTTCTACAGCTTATGCAGATGCTTCTCGAGACAACTGTCTCTCACTTTTCGTGGCATTCAATCGTTGAATAGGGCAGCTTGTGCATTTCTTTTCCCCTCTTCATTGTGATCGGCAGAACGATTGATCATTAGTTGCGTCGCACCTCTTCCGCTCCTAAGAATTTGTATAGGCTTGATTTTGTTGTGAATGCCCACGATCAGAACTTTGTAATTGGCTACAGTGAGTATTTACTGCTTCAGTTGGTTATCCATTTATCTGTTGTCTTCTTCTCCATCCTCGACTGCTTTAAACTTGTAAAAAACATTGAACCAACATGCTCTCTGGATTGGTGTTTCTTTACGTTTTCGCCAGGCTTCTCAGTATCATGGTTGTTTGCATACATTCTACTTTCAGTAAATGGAAGTCGCTCTTGTGAATTATTATGAGAGCAAATTGGTTTAGGAATTTACATCCTTGTATTCCTATGGAATTGTAAACTTTTTGGTGCTCGCTCGCTGACATTTGCGTGTTTTTTTATTTCGCCAGCTCTTGACAGTCCATAGTCCGACATGGACTCCATTCCTTGAAGAAATCGTCTCATGCGAAGGAATCGGTTAGATATGAGCCTAATGAGACGACAAGTCTTTGCATCGTTCTGAAAGCGTGTTTTATTTCGAGTAACGAATACAAAGCAGTTTCATGTATGCAGTAACGCAGGCAGCAGTTTTATCGCTGCCTGCGTTATGCCTCGTGCAGGACTAGTTAGCATGGTTAGGTAAGCTTAGTCACTGTTGCCTCCTTCTCAAGTCCCCAAGATGTTGCTCCTAAATGTTATCGATGTTTGTGTCAAGTTTATTGTCTTATGCTCCTACATCCTCTTGTATCACTCAATGTGCAGCGGAACGTTGGTTTCGATAGGAGCGCTTCTGAATATCTTACGCTACCGAGTTTCGGGAGCTGGAGAACTACACACCCGATCCCGTCACGATGCCGTATTAAGTTTTATTAACGAGCAAGTTATGAAGAGTTCACATCTAAATTTACAGTCAGTTAAGGGCATTGGGTTTTGTATTCAAATTGATCAGAAATTTAAATGATCCACGCCGGCGCGCATATTCCACATGCAATTTTCGAGTGCCGGTTACAAATAACCCGCGTTTAATGTTTAACTCACGCATTCCAAAGACGATATCGTTAGTTTGTCTATTGTTATGTGTATTTATTGCAGCTTTTTATTTGTTGTAGTTAAGATTGAAAATACTTTATTATGAGCTCATATTTCTAATTTTATCTTTCAGTAATTTATGCACATAAATTCTTATTGTATCTCACCTTAGTAACATATTTGCACCAAGACGTGCTTTTTAGAGCTTCATGTTCATATAAAGTTTTTTAGAGACGCAACATAGCGTCTAAATTTCCCTGCCAGTGCAATAACGTATACGAAGTTTCTATGTGATCATTGAATCGTGGCAATATCAAGCATTTAGTAGTGCCGTTTCCGGCAACTTGTTACTATCTACCGGGCCGCGAAGCTTATATTCAATGTATAAATACTTTTAGGTCAATTTATTTTTAAAAATTTGCGCAAGATTAGAGAATATCTCTCAACTTCTTTAAAGTTTCGGTTTAAAATGAGTTTTTTTTCTTCATGTCAATCAATGTGTTGGCTTTGGGCTGAGAACTGCCATAAGATACGACCGAGCTTCAGTTTATGCATAGCGAGTGAAAGACATTTGTTGTGTCTTGCCCGACGACACGCAAGCTTGTCGTGCTCTGAATCGACTCGTCGCCGACAAAAGACAAACCCGGTGTCGAATTATATACTTATTAATTTTTTCCGCCTAAAAGGAACGCTCCGTTGGAAGCGGTCTCACTTGTTTGTGTTCTGTTGTAGATACGACGTAGATGCTTATTATTTATTTATAGAAAGTTTATTCCTTGCTTAAAGTTATGTTTGTACTTGCTTGAGTCTGTTTGTCTTAAGCCACCAGGGACTTTATCAATAGTATTTTACTTTTCTGTATATTAAGAAGAACGGCCTTTAAAAATTCTTATTTACCAGTCTCCGACCAATTGTTATTTTCTACATCGTATATCTATTTTCTATGACTTAACATAAGACTTTTCATCTTCGCCTGCGGCCAACATGGCGTCTAGAACTACATTTCTGCACTTGAAAAGATGTCTACTTTTGAAAATGTTCCAATTCGAGCTTATTATTCACTAAGACTTTATGCTCATCACCCACCTGAAGCCAACGGATGGATGCATGAATGAATTATGAATGACACGAGCGTTTTATTGTACCCCTGCGCAGATTGGACCGATCGTCTAATTCTGGCTCAGCGATTGGCAAAATTTCACTGAAAATGATAACAATCTTGACGCGGAGTGGTAACAATCTTGACGCGGAGTGGTAACAATCTTGACGCGGAGTGGTAACAATCTTGACGCGGAGTGGTACCAATCTTGACGCGGAGTGGTACCAATCTTGACGCGGAGTGGTACCAATCTTGACGCGGAGTGGTACCAATCTTGACGCGGAGTGGTAACAATCTTGACGCGGAGTGGTAACAATCTTGACGTGGAGTGGTACCAGGCTGGACGTGACGTGGTAACCATTTTGACGCAACCGCGCCGGCCAGCAAGGAGGCTGCTGATCTAACCTCATGCCATAATGTTGAGGATAATAACTTCTCACAGTGAAATAATATCATTTACCGATGCTGTAAGCTCCCAGCTTCGAGGAGAAGAGCACACAAAAATTCTACACTCGATAACATTATATAATCAGTCCACAGCACAAACTGTGCGCATTTAGTACCACATTTTAAGATAATTCATCAAATTTTTCCAACCCATCCACTTATTTAGAAAGATTTTAAAATATACATAAAATATAGCATAGAAATGATGCACACATTCGACACCGAAAAGTCATTTTCTCTGGTGTATTATCTCTCAAATTGACTAAATAAATTGATATTTGATAAAATTCTAGACAAACTGAAGGCATTCATACAGTTTAGTTGTTTCACCAACAAGGCACTAAAATATGAACATTTTAAAGAAGTCTAACCTTACATATTACACACAAAAATTGACTACATGACGTTCCATCTATCCATTTAGTATTTCTTCTGGGTAGCTCTTTTGGAGTAAGAGTAAGACGTGTGACTAAATGTCAGGCAAAGATAGCCGATAAAATAACAGATCACAATAAATGTCGTTGTCTTATGAATATCAAGATCGTCTACAAAATACATGCTGGTATATATTATGCACACTACAGGCTGATATATATTATAGTAATAGCGAAAACACAATCACGGTCGTTATTTTCTAACTCCTGAAGATTGACGTGAACGGAATACACGTATTAAGAGCGCCATTGGGACCTCATTAAAGGCGTTCTATCACTGACCACTAACACATTCGATGTCTTGATTGTTACAGTCGATATGGTTGCAATTAACCTTATATTACTACCACAATACACAGCGAAGTTTTTTTACAGCAATCAGAGCAAACGATAATTCTCAATGTCTAGTAAAGAAAACTAATCGAGAAAATTATCAATAGCAACCCGAGATGCTAAGGAATTCTTCCTAGCATAAGATCTAGCTAAGAAACAACAGGGTTTGGACGGTAAGAGTTGAGGCTCAGGATATTACATTCATTTGTTAACGCATTAAACGTGACAATACGAAAACCAATTCATAACCGCCAACGAAGCAAACAATTCAAGAAAGTTAGCTGTTCTCAACTTTGTCTGCATACACTACCAATAGGTTGCCAACCTTCAAGTACGTAACAGGACGCTGCTGACAATTTTATGTGTTCAAGACTAAGGGAGCTACAGAGCAGAGGCGGCCGGCCCTTACATGACCCAGCTCAGTCAAGCAGATAAGTCGCAGCTACCAACCCTCGAAGGCACGCGCTCTTATATGACTTGTCACAGTCACAAGAAAATAATCATCTAAATATCACCAAAAACTACATTAACAAACAACAAGAATAGAGAATAATATGGCAGCTTATCATTGCACACTCACAAGAAGTTTGTGCTTTTCGGTTGAATGTACTCGTCAGAGTACGCTACAATTTTTTGAGGTTATAAAGCACACACATCAAAGCATTTAAATGCTGCAAAAAAATAACACATCAAATTGAGAGCCACCAATTTATTCCATATATTCAATTTATATTTTAACGCCTTTTTCATACCATTCATACCAGATCAATCACTCGGCCAGTAATGACAAGAATATTTGGGCAATTATTAAGCGAGCAAGTTTCTTAATAACGCATGTATATTGAATATGCATGTTGCACACGCGGATAAAACTCGCCGCCATGGCAGCAGCTTTGCTCGGTTTTGAGGCTTTATGTTGCAGCCGCAGCAACTGTTAAAGGGGGAGCTTTTTTCGCTGTACATTATAAAAATCAACCCACTATTGAATCCAAGAATATTCATCTCGCATATGACCCAATAATTGGGCATACATTAACAGAAAACCGAGCAAAAAATAGCAACAAAACATATAAAAACAAAACAATATCTACTATGCGTCATGTTTTAGCATTTAATTGGAAAACGTGCCAATACATGGACATACATTCATCAAAAACCACTCTAGGCAATGACACATAGCTAAAATTTTGTCGAAAACTTGTAATAACTTCTCTAGGCAACTAAGAGAAGTCAACGTCAGAAGAGACACGGCGTTCGAGACTCAACACCTCTTGCAGTGGCGCACGACCCACGGCAACTTGCCGTACCTGCGATACTGATAATAGTTGTGCGCAAAATTTGCGATGGTGGCAAGCAGGACAAGCGCCATGAAGATGTTCACGACATCGATGGCCATGAGAGGCGACTGCTTGGGGTAGCACTGCGCCTCGAAGTCTACGTAGAGGATAGGTCGTAGAGCGCCGGTGTCATCACAACGAACCCGCAGGTGGTCAGGGATGTGGAACATGTTGTCGTACACGAAGGACTGCACATGGTGTGAGTTAAACGTAAGTGGTGTCTTGACTTTCTTTTATGCACAGCTAGCGTGATGGTTGAACATCAATTTGCTTGACTGCAACTGATGTACAGTTCTAATAGAACACAAAAATTTCTTGACTATAACTGAAAGAAACATTGAGGAGTCTTCGCAATACCAGGGGTTGCCACTCACCTTAAAGTAAGGAATAAAGGAGCAGTCCTCGCAGTCCCAGGGGTTGCCACTGAGGTCGAAGGCGGGCAAATGTTTCTCGCCGCTTCGGTGCCCCTTGTTGTAGAAACTCGTCAACTCCCACACAGGAAACTGAGGACAAGCCAAGTCAGGATTACTTCCTTGCCTAAAATAATCCTGATTATTTTTCCGGAGAGTAGGAAGTCATATTATTATTTTTCAATTTTTACGAAGAATTAAAGGAAAATGTAATAGAATTGATAGACAAATCATTTGACGGCAAGTTCCCGGAATATATCGGACAATTATTGGGAATAGATTTGAAAGCCAATTCTTGCATCGTTCCGCTCTTATTCCTTGGAATTGAGACAACACTGTATTTGTTCACATAATTCCAGCTATAGTAGTATAACTTTGCATTGCAGCTATTACATTGATTGACTTAACTTCAAGAACGCGAAACCCAGCTATTGCAAAATAAATAGAATATGAAGAACGTTAGGGAAGCATGTCATATACCTATACCTGCGAGAGTTTATTGTTCCTCAAGTCGAAATAAACGTCGTGCTCTCTGGACGTGAAGTAGTTAAGGAGGGCGGCGCCATTGATGCTGCTGATCGCGTTGTTGCTGAAGTCGCACTTGGCGAGGCGACTATAGTCGGGGTTACTGAACACCGCGTCAATGTTCGTCAGCTGCGGAACACAGAACAGGAATAACGAACTAAGTCATACACTGAACACCGAGTCAATGTACGAGTGCGGTGCACAAAAAGATAAATTCGTAATTACCAAATTATTTGTAACAATGTTTCCCCGTTAAACTGTTGTAAAATTCAAGGTCTTCGTCACTCAGTATCGTCAAATCCAAAATAAGAAGTCACAACAAATATAACTACAGTTCTTAGTTTTTCGAACAAAAATAGCATCGACAATGGCGGAAAGGAGTGAATTATTCCTAATAAGGAACTTCTAGTGAATGGATGAATTAGTGAATAAAGAACTGACGTTGTTGTCGCTCATGATGAGGGAGGATGCGAGCGGCGGGATGGCGGGCGGCAGCGTCGTGAGGCCGGCGCCGCGGCAGTCGACGGACAACAGCGGCCGATCCAGCGACCTGAACCCCAGCAGCTCGCATGAGCACGCAGACGGGCAACGCTCCACGCTCTGGTGGGGACGTGTGTGTTGCTTAATACGCTCTGGTGGGACGCGTGTTGCTTAAGCGGTACACGCTCGGGTGGGGACGTGTGTTATTTACGCAGACACGTGTTTTGGGGGGCGCGTGTTGCTTAAGCGGTACACGCTCTGGTGGGGACGCGTGTTGCTTAAGCGGTACACGCTCTGGTGGGGACGCGTGTTGCTTAAGCGGTACACGCTCTGGTGGGGACGTGTGTTGCTTAAGTGGTACACGCTCTGGTGGGGAAGTGTGTTATTTACGCAGATACATGTTTTGGTGGGACGCGTTTTGCTTAAGCGGTACACTCGCTGAGACACGTGCTACTTGCACGCAATGATGTGAGGCAAGCCTTGATGCGTGATTATCATGCAGAAATATGCGTTGTTTTCGTGCACGTGCGTGTTAATTTCGCAGACACACGAGTTACTGCCTCCGGCAACATCATCTATCGAGGGATCTGTCCATATTTTCGTTTTTACGATTCAAACTTACAAGTAAGCATTATTCCCTATCAAATTAAAAGTTGTTAATTTCCGAATTAATAATTCATGCAAATCCAAACACTAAAATCAAATAATCATATCAGCAGAAAAATATTCCATTTAACGCCTGACGAAAATATGATAATGTACCTTCCTGAGCTTGAGGACGTCGAGAAGAGGCTTCTTGTTGAAGGTATAGTAGGAGTTGAACTTGCTGATGTCCTCGAGGATGAAGCAGGACGTGTTCTCAGAGACAGCGGCGCGCCCTGACTCCACCAGCGTCAACAGGTACACTTGGATCGAGTGGCACTCATACTCGCCTCCTGAACGCCAGTAATTATATAATATATATGTATTATCTTGTGTATTGATTTAGCTAAACACGATCAAGTGTACACACTAGTAATATTAATGGCAAGAGGAAGCATAAGAACAGTCTCGTCAGCGCTTCCTCGTGTACACAACAAAGATGGTGTGCGACTAGATAGTCTAAATGATGCAGTCACAGGCCAGGTTGGGACGCCGTCTAGTGTTCAGTCGAGCCGAGGTCTAAAATAAATACCACGCATCTGCCCTCAGTTGGGCCAGCTGATGCACAATGCGGTTTCTTGCCTATTGCTGCTGGTAGTGTTGCAGAGGCGGGATTGTCTCAAGAACCAGTGCAGTCGTCTTATGAAGTTTTCTAGAGAGAACTCCCATCCTGGCAGCTTCATTGGTATGATATTAAATAGCCTCGGGTAGCCGCAGAAATTTAGGAGTTAAGCTGAGACTAGCATTTGTTAGCACAAATTAGTGTTCTCTCCAGATAGATAATCAAGTTCCATCATTGAAATCTGGGTAACCACAACTTAGAAAATAATGATTGTTAACAGGTGCAGGCATAAGATAGGCTTTAGTTTAGGCGAACCTACCTTCGATGGATAAGAACGTTGAAGGCGGCAGCAGACCGAAACCTACTGCGCCATCGCCGCCGGGCTCGTCGTCCACTTTGATGCTGCACTCCACAATCTTGAGTGTCTTGAGTGACGTCAGCGCTGACCACACCTGAACCGTGCATACGACTGGTCTACAAGCTTTATAACGGACATTGATCGCGCATGTCATCATTACCTCCATGGATAACGTACATCATCGCAACCTAAATCGATCTTATTACCCCATCGATCTCACAAACCATCATTACCTCCATGGATATTGCACACATCATATTATTACCTCTATAGATCTTGCCCAAAATATAACCACAAATTTTGCTAATACTAGTATGGAATTTCGTAAGTAATGGCGATGCGTGGCTCCCAAAAGTATTCAGCCATTATTGTTTCAGTATTTAAGTACGATTTGAGTCTATTTATTCCTGCAATTCTCTATTAAACTAAACTAGTACAAGGAAAAATCATACGAAAATTACAAAAATCCGTTAACTGCTCATCACAAAAAACCGTAGCTTACCTTGGGCGGGATCTGGAGATATTTTTGTAGTTTATTGTTGACTGCGCCATTGGAGTTGTTGGTGTCGGGGGAGTTACTCCAGCAGCGCTCCAGCACCAGCTCCTCCAGCCCCAGCCGCGCCGGCCACACCAGATCACTCAGGACCACGCGGCTGATGGGACCACGCCGATCATTGGACCAAACGGCACCGCTTAACGGACCACACGGTCACGAAACGGACCACACGGTCACGATTAACGGACCACACGGCACCGCTTAACGGATCACACGACACCACACAAGGGACCACACAGCATCGTTAAACAGACCACACGGAGCCGCTTAACGGACAACACGGCATCAAATTGTGACCAGAAAATAGCAAGCGCCAGCTAGGTAAGCGACAGCTAGGTGAGTAAAATATTGCAATAAATATTTCATTATCGCTAATTAATATGCAGTTGATCATTGATCAATATTAATGATCGACCAAGTTGACTTGCTGTGAATGCGTAAGCGAACAATGCCTGCTGACCTGTACGTGATGGTGAGGCCTGCTGACCTGTACGTGATGGTGAGGGCTGCTGACCTGTGCGTGATGGTGAGGGCTGCTGACCTGTGCGTGATGGTGGGGGCTGCTGACCTGTGCGTGATGGTGAGGGCCAGGAGCTGGGTGAGGGGCAGGAGGTGCTCGCCGCTGAGGGCCACCAGGGAGCTGTTGGTGACGGTGAGGTGACGCGCCGTGAGGGCGGCGTTCGTCAGGGCCGCGGGGCTGCGTAGCCCGGAGCACAGCACCGTGTGGAGGGAGGTCTCCACACACGGGCTGGGGGAGGACAGGAGTGTACAGCACCGTGTGGGGGGAGGTCTCCACACACGGGCTGGGGGAGGACAGGGGAGTACAGCACCGTGTGGGGGGAGGTCTCCACACACGGGCTGGGGGGGGACAGGGGTGTACAGCACCGTGTGGGGGGAGGTCTCCACACACGGGCTGGGGGAGGACAGGACTGTACAGCACTGTGTGGGGGGAGGTCTCCACACACGGGCTGGGGGGACAGGACTGTACAGCACCGTGTGGGGGGAGGTCTCCACACACGGGCTGTGGGAGGGGGGAGGGCAATGTGTGGAGTGTTGAGGTGCCTTAATACCAGTTAAATGCCCACCTAGCTGGCCAATTCAAGCCTGAAGTTCAATTCAAGAAGTTCAGTTGAACATATTGCTAAGTCTTCATGGGTTAACCCTAACATTATTCTGAAGCTGTTGCTGTCTATATATTAAAATGTAGATCCAATGAGTGCTTCCGAACGATTAAAGGTTAAAAAAGTATATTGAACTCAATATATTAGTGGTGTGAGCCCCAGACCAGCTACTAATGAGGACATATTTTAAGGAGATTTATTACCTTTATTAGCTCAAATAAAGGCTAGGTACTGACAGTCAAAATGAACAACATTTTATATTCACAGCACACAATTTTCCATTCACATCAGACAATTTCATGAATATGAATATATACTGCCTAGTATAGATAGGCACAAATTTTTCTTTTATGCAAGTTTTATTTAAGACCAGAGCGTATTTCATATTAATGATTTTCTTATTAATTTTCTCAATGCTCCGAACTAGGCTTCTTGCGGGATTTGAAAGTTCAAAAATAAGGCTTTCTCGATTGCCTAGTTTGCAGCATTGAGAAAATAGAACTTGCATAAAATGAATATACCAGTATACCTATCCTTATGATAGATAATTTTATATTCAGATTAGACACAGTTATTCTTTATCCTGAAATAAAATTAGCTGAGATGTACCTAAACAAGAGCTGAGTATTTGGCTATGATAAAATGAAAATAATAACCTTTTTTTTAAATAAATTGAAAACCAAGTAAAGAAATGTTTACCTTTCTATGCTGTCAGTGTTTGCATTGGCAAAGGCTTCAGCAGGATATCCCAAAATTTCCTGAAACAAAAGAAAAATGATTGATTTTAGATTTATTTATTTTTATTTATTATGAGAAGCTGGAACACCCAAAAAAGCATCAATACCATTTAAGTTTGGTATGTGTTCACAAATAATGTAAAGACTCCGATATTCATCTTCAGCTTGGTGATTAGATATTTTCATTGCATACATTCATACAGTATGATGGTCCACAGTATAATGAAAAAAATTGTGGCATCACCTACTTAATTTGATCAAGCTGATCTAAAGACCAAAATAAATATATATAAAAACATTTTTAAAACCATGTTTTTCTAGTTTTTACATAACTAAAAATAATGAAATAAAACAAATACAAAAACTTTTAAAAACCATGTTTTCTTAATGGACAAAAAAGAAAAACATTTTCTCCTACATAACATTACATAACAGTTTACATAACTTTAATGTTATGTCAGAGTAAATGTTATCCTTTTTTGTCCATTAAGAAAACATGGTTTTTAAAAGTTTTTTTCTATTTATTTTATTTCATTATTTTTAGTTTTGTAAAAACCAGAAAAACATGATTTTTAAAAATGGTTTTTAATATTTATTTATTTGCTACTTTTTAGTTTAGCAATTTTAGCAATTCAAATCAATTTCCAGGGTTGGCAAGTCTGGATATTCGAAAAATAACCTGATTCCCAAATGTGAATTTTTAGTTTTTTAATTCTTTTTTAATATTTTTTCTAAAAAATTTTTCTTTAATTATTAGTTATGATGATCAAATCTTGAATTGTTAGGCAGCATAAGCATGAATGCCAAATTTCAAGTTTCTATGATGTTCAGAAGAGCTCTAAATTAAGGTGTGAATTTTTGATGACAGACAGACAGACAAGAAACAAAGCTAAGAAAAACGTGGTAATAAAAATAAAGAAAGGCTATAAAGATCTATGTATAGCTGAATTTGTTTGTTACTGGAGTTTGAAGTAAATTATGATAGAGAATAAAATTTCATTTTTTGTCTTAGTTGCAGTAATACACTACAGGAGCCACCCTATACTAAGCTTATGAAGGTTAGTATTAGACAAGATGGCTGTGTCCAGAAAGTGTATAGATATATAATATGCAGGTTTGATTGAAAACCAGAGCATACTTTTTATTAACAATTTTCTTATAGTTTTTTTTCTGGAACAAAATTTTCTTTTCTAACAAAATTTTCTTTTCTAACAAAATTTTCTTTTCTAAAAAAATTTCTTGCTGGTGCTTGGAGATCAAAAAGCAGGTTACCAAATGACATTTTACTGGGATACCGGTACAACATTACATTTAGAATATTCAATATTCATTATCAAGTAGGCAAAGGGTTATTAGAGTGCTTAAAATTGAAATTTGGAAATGACATAAGCATTAAATACAAAAAGTATCTTGGATACCTACAGTTCAAAATTGAAAATTAAATTAATCAGAGAATAATTTCAATACCCTGATGAATCAGATATATAAATCAGATATATAATAGGTACTCTTATTACTCTTATTATTATAATACTCTTGACAACTGCATAAACTAGTTTATTATTAGCTGCCTGCCTGTGTTGTTAGAGCATTTATGTCCACAAAAATAAATTATTTGTGATTTTGAGTAACAAGGTAATGATTTTCACACTGTCATCAGAACTAAGGTAAGGGTTCGGACTTCGGAGTGGGCGGAGTGCGGCAGGCATGGAATAGAAATACCAACTTTCTTAGCTGCAAGAGACTTTCTAGCCTTTTTTAAGAGCCTTGAGATTATCACTCAACAAATTATGCAACTATTATCTAATTTACAACAACAGTATCCAATTAAGCTGCAAGATTCCAAAATTTTCAAAACATGTCATATTGCAGCCATGTGTTAATTTAAAATTTTGAGGTGTGCATAAAAATTTCCAAAGGCATGGTTGAGTTTAGCAGGTTGCCAAAAATAATACAACTTCAGTAATTTGTTGCCAAAACACTTGTCCAGGCCTATTTAAAATCATATCATAACCATATAGCACCATCAAAATCTTTAGAAAGAAGGCATGCCGCATGTATAAAACTCCAAGCTGGAAAATCAGGCAGAAGCCATCCATGAATGAGAAAAAAAAAGCCTGAGCATGTTGTCAAATTTACCTATAGCCCTTGAGGCGGATGAGGCCTTGACTAATGCTTGGAGTAAAGTTTATAGAGAAAGTTGATCCTAAAAATTGTTTCAAACTAAATGACCAAGCCTTTTGAAACTTTGCATACCTACATAATATACCGTACCTAAATCACTAAAGGGAAAATATCTTGATCCAATAAATTTACAAAATGAAAGACAATGTGAAATGCATAAAAAATGGGTAAATTATAAATATATTATAGGTATCATTTATTTGATATTCCACCATGTAAACACCCACAGTCTCATTTCCGTTCATGCACAATTGTCAATTCTACAAGCTATTTATTGTGAATTTGTGATTTTTACAATGCTTTGATTAGAAAAGATTTTACATGACATGAATGTACATAAATGTCACTAGGCAAATACAGTTATATGAGCCAAATACAACTCACATCGCTTTGCAGCGTTATAATTAAAATAAAAATAAAATTATTCCTGAAATGGTTACTGTAAAAAGCCATAGAGTGCAATGTTTTGATGCATGAGCGGCTGATGGGTTTGAGGTCAATCCGCACTGTCTTGACTTCCGCGTATCCTGGACCAAATAAAACGCAAGTAGCGAATGGAAGACTGGAAGCATGATTGAACTATATATCTACTAGTTCAGCCATGAGTGGAAGGAAAATGGAAACAAAAATAGTTAGGGTTTCGATTAATTATTTATTTGTAATTACGATTTAGGAAAGAGTGATCATTCTCTATTAACATATCATAATCAGTTAAATGGCATGGAATAATGCATGTTCATCGTAAACGTTATCGGCATGTATATAATTACGTATACGATTTTTAATACAATTTGAATTAGTTGTACTAATTTGTAAGGAAAAATTCCAACTGTATCATCATCCTACTCAATTGAATCCAAATGTATTAGAAACCTAATAATTTAACTTTATTAGTCGGAGTCTTAGTCGGAGTCTTATTAGTCTTAGTCGGAGGAATTGACGCAACAAAGCTAATGAGGTTTGTTGTAGAAGTAGAAGGCAACAAAAGTTAGGGCGAAGGAAGAAATTAGCATGCCGACCGCCAGCCCAGCCATATCACCTGCACGAGAAACACTGACATTAAGTGACAGCATGGTTTTATGTTGGCTAATTGTTATGGTTCAAACATAATTATTTACAATCTAAGTCGTGAGATCCAAATTACATTGTTTTGTGGATCTCACAGAAGGAGAAAATGTTTTTCTTTTTTTCGTTCATTGTTATTATTTCTATTTACTTACAATGTTGCTATACGCCAATTCTTCTATCGATAATATACATAAATAGCCATAAAATTAATTATGATTACTGTGCACTCCTAGAGGATTTATCGTCCCGAGAGGATTACTCCTATATTTACGAGAGGATTACGAGAGGACGATTTATCCTCCTCAGGTTATTTCTCATCCCTAGAGGATTTCTTTGCACTACTGCACTTTTACGTATCCTTACCAGGTCCATATCCAAACCAACCGTATCCTTAACAACTGTAGCGTATCATTACGAGGACTAGACTATATCTTCAGCAATACAGTATCCTCATCAAGACCGTGTCCATGCCAACTGTTGCGTGTCCTTACGAGGACTATATCTTCAACAATGCCGTATCCTTTTACATACTGCAACGTATCCTTTCCAGAATCGTATCCTCACCAATACCGTATTCTTACCAACAGTAGCGCATCCTTACGATGACCGTATCCTTACCAGGTCCGTATCCTTTCTTGGGCTCCTGCTGGTTGACCACGGTATTAAGATCCTGGCCGTCGTAGTACACGCCTTCAATACAAGATACAAATTTAACAATACAATGCAAATTTCAAGAATAATACAAATATCATTATAAAATACACGTATCACAACACAGTACAAGTATTACAGTAAAATAAAACTATCACTATCAAAACTATCAAGTGGCCGCATGACTCAGTGCACCATTCGTCACTCACGCTCATAGTGGCTGCAGGACTCAAGGAACCACTCGCCACTCACGCTCATTATAGTGATCGCAGATCTGACTGCACCATTCTTCACTCACGCTCATAGTGGTCGCAGGTCAGAGTGCACCACTAGCCACTCACGCTCATAGTGGTCGCAGATCTGACTGCACCATTCTTCACTCACGCTCATAGTGGTCGCAGGTCAAAGTGCACCACTCGCCACTCACGCTCATAGTAATTGCAGGTCTGATTACACCACTCGCCACTCACGCTCATAGTAATCGCAGACCTGATTACACCACTCGCCACTCACGCTCATAGTAATCGCAGGTCTGATTACACCACTCGCCACTCACGCTCATAGTGGCTGCAGGACTCAGTGCACCACTCGCCACTCACGCTCATAGTGGCTGCAGGACTCAGTGCACCACTCGCCACTCACGTTCATAGTGGTCGCAGACGAGAGTGTCCGACACCTGCACCCCTTGCCCTGAGTAGTGGGCCTCCGTCAGGTAGCAGCTCTGGCCGCCGTCCTCCTGGCAGAAGTCGAAGCCGTTGCAGACGATGTCCGCATCCTCCACACACTCCTGTGAATGTTAATTAAATTATTGATTCGACAAAGCATTTTGTGAGCGCAAGAATAGCTGCTAATCAAGTAATCGCTACGACAAATCAATACTGTTTTAAATGTTTAAGAGAGGCGGTGGCCGAGGTTTTGCTGCAATTTAGCATTGTTTAGGGTGAAACTTTTGTTTGAAGTTAGTGGATAGCTGGAGTCAGCTCACCTTGGCGCACTGGTCCAGAGTAACGTAAAGGAGGTAGACGTCCCGAGTGCCAGATATGCGGACGTTCTCGTGTTTCTTGAAGTCGGTCAAGTAACTACCTGATGGGGAAAATCACAAAATAGAATAAATTAAGCATGAATTTGATGTAGTTTCGTTGTTTGAATTGCTGTATCATTCCGCGCTAGATAGCCGACTCAGTATTCCGACGTGCATCTTTAGTAAGTTACCCTAATGATGCTCGATATAGTTGTTTGCTTCTTGCCGCTGGTAGTAGTGTAAAGGCGGTCGACCAAAGATTGTTCTCATGAACTCTTCTAGTCATCTTTTGCAGGTTTTGAGGGTGAATTCCCCTCCTCTTAGATCCATTGGCAAGACGTTAAACAGCCTCGGTCCCGCCAAGTAAAGGAATCTTCGGAGCAGAGATTGAAATCTGACCGCAACACTGTTGCGTAATGAAGGATCTTGCACAGTCTCCTCTTTCTCTTGTTATTGTCTCAGAATATGGCAGGTCTTGCTTCCGAAGTTAAGGGTCAGTCTAATTATTATTTTCCATGTGTACAGAATGTCATACCTCACCCGTCTCCTGCGCAGCGAGTACAGCCATATGAGCTTAAGCCTGCATCTGTTAATTTATTTGATGTGATATGACGCACTGCTGCAGTGACATGACTCACTTCTGTAGTGACATGACTCACTGCTGTAGTGCGTGCAGTGATTCACTGCTGTGGTGCGTGCAGTGACTCACTGCTGTAGTGCGTGCAGTGACTCACTGCTGTAGTGCGTGCAGTGACTCACTGCTGTAGTGCGTGCAGTGACTCACTGCTGTAGTGCGTGCAGTGAGTTGCGTTCGTCTGCAGGTCGCCGTCGCCAGCGTCCAGGACGTGCGTGTCGTGGAGGTAACACGTGCCCGTGTCGCTGCAGTAGTCGAACGACCTGCACACGTGTCAGTGCTGTTAGTCATGCACGTGTGGCAGTGCTGTTTGTCATGCATGCGTGGTGTTGTGTCGGATCATCTAATCATTGAATGATAACAGAATGTTTCGTTGAGCGTCCACATATTTTGACTACATCACACCAATGATAAGAGAGCGCCTGAGCCCCCGGTCCTATGATTTATCTATGGTCATCTGATATAAAAATTGATTTAAACTTATATCCAGCTAGGCCGTATTAAATTAAATTTGCCTTTTATTGTTTGATAATTTTGCACAGCGAATTTAAAATTATTTAAAGCGGTTAAAAATATTTTTGGGGGGCTGAAGTCGCTCTAAAATAGGCCTGGGACGCGAATGCGAAAAAGCATATTAATTCATCGTGAATAAGCAGTCGTTGAGTAAAAAAATTATGCAGATGAATTCAGTGACAACATCGCAGTCATAGGCGCAGTAGTTCGGGTCTATAATGCCCAGCATACAGACCTGCAGACAAAGTCTGTAACAACATCGCAGTCATAGGCGCAGTAGTTCGGGTCTATAATGCCCAGCGTACAGACCTGCAGACAAAGTCTGTAACAACATCGCAGTCATAGGCACAGTAGTTCGGGTCGAGGATGCCGCTGAACTGCATGTTGGCGTCAATGTTGAGGACAGCTCCTTTGATCTCCGTGTATTCGTCCAGTAGTTGTCCTGTGGTCAGAATTTACAATCTGTTAAAATTTAAACAAATTACAGAATTTTAAAACGTTGCGCTTTCCTTAGTAGTAGAACCGAATAAAAATTTATACATGGCTGATAATTTGTAAGAAGTGCGGGTTAAGATTCGTAAGCTCTCACGCACGCATCACAACGATACATATATAGATATAAACTAATTTGAGCCTACACAATCGTAGACAATTTCTTGTCAAGTCATTGGGCGCATGACTGTACTCACGGCCAATAACAATACAGTCGCCGTCCAAGACAACTTCCTGTGGGGACATTGGGCGCACGACTGTACTCACGGCCAATAACAATACAGTCGCCGTCAAAGACAACTTCCTGTGGGGTCATTGGGCGCACGACTGTACTCACGGCCAATAACAATACAGTCGCCGTCCAAGACAACTTCCTGTGGGGTCATCGGGCGCACGAAGACCTGGCTGGACAAGTAACACGTGCCGTCGTCGTAGCAAAAGCTGAAGGTGTTGCACTCAAATGCTTCGTAATATTTGCACGTAAGCAGGCACGAGATGTACGTGTCCTGGAACGAAAGACTTTGTCAAAGGTAAGCGATGTTACGGCCTAAACCTGTTGATTAATAAGCTTCAATTACCTAATTTTCTATTAAATTATTGTTCCTACAAATTTATATGGTTATCATTCAGATGATCATGTTTGAATTCTACGTTACATTTTTTCGGCACGATACACGGGTTGAAAATATCTGTGAAATGGGAGAATTGATGTCTTGTTTTGACATTTTCTATTTTTATGTTAGAACTATTTGTTATTTAGAAATTGCAAAATCAGATCATGACTTGATTAAAATCAGAACTAGTGATGATTGATCAATAATTTGAAATCCATTTGGAAACTAAAAATTTGGTCGGTTTCATCAATACTTTATTGAGATTTTACGACACTACAGTTGCTGGACTAAGCACGTAACCCGATGAGGAAAACTCTTTACGTGAAATAGAGTATAATTAGATGAAGTAACTTTGTATGATGAAAAATGTTATATAATTAAATAGAACACCCTTGTGTGATGAGAAATGTTATAGAATTAAATAGAGTAACCTTGTATGATGAGAATATTACATAATTAAATGGAATAACCTTGTACGATGGGTAATATTATATAATTAAATAGAGTATCCTCTCATGATGACAAATATTATATAATTAAATAGAGTAACAATGTATGATAACAAATATAATATAATTAGAGTAACAATGCACGATAACAAATAGTATATAATTAAATAGATTAACCTTTTTGAAGGTGACGTTGTTGTACTCGTCCTTTAGCCTGGCGCCCCCGATGAGAGGCACGAAGTCCTCCCTGATGAGGTCCACGAACACAGGATCGTCCACGAACATCTCCCGCGTCATCTGCACCGCCGTGTACACCCCGTAGTTTTCCTGAGGAGGTCATGATACATTACGCCCCGTAGTGTTCCTGAGGAGGTCATGATACATTACGCCCCGTAGTGTTCCTGAGGAGGTCATGATACATTACGTCCCGTAGTGTTCCTGAGGAGGTCATGATACATTACGCCCCGTAGTAGAAGCTGAACCATTACATGTAATGGCTCTGCACAAGACAACCGCTAATAAGTTTCCAGCCCGCAATTGTTCTGCTGATTTAGGTAAACTAACTCATGCAGTTCTACGTATACCTTTTGGTCCTTATGTAGGTCAAAATTGGCAGTCCGAAAGGAACACAAAGATTACCCAGCTGTAGCGAGATTTTTCTAGAGGACTCTTAAGAGTTGGTGTGGCATGACCCAGTCGCTATCCTTCCTGTAATTATAGTTAAATAGTTGGTACCATTAGGTATATATAGACAAGTTTTTTATTAATTCACCTGACCATCAGCGTCAGTGTACGGGTACTGGAAGACGAGCGTTTGCTTAACGATCTCCTCGTTGATCCACATCTCGACCTCCTCATTGAAGGGCTGCACGGCGTGCGTGTCGCTCACGGTCTGTACGAAGTGGGGACAAGGGACGTCTGTGGCGGCGGTGCCTGTCGAGTTGATGATGCTGCTCAGGAAGCACTGTTTGCCTTGCACTGGGCACTGGTAGAACGAACTGAAATGAGGCAATAAATTAGTGCGATTACACGACAATAAACGGCAGCGCTGAGGCAATAGGTTAATCTCATTACACGACTAAATACGGCAGCGCGTGGAGTGTATATAGCTTCGAACAAACGGTGAGGATAGCATCAATAATAAGAGATGAAGAACTAATAGCTCATAGAGAAAGAGAGTCAGGCAATGTATAAATTTTGGCAATAAATTATATACAAGTAATGATAATATTAATATTCTGATACATTAATAGTCAGAAAACGGTAGAATGAGAAGATAACTAAGAACTTGGCCCTCGCCCCACACTCTAACGCCGTACCTGCAGTGGAAGGTGGTGTAGGAGAGGCAGTAGCGAGCACACAGGTCCGCGTCGTTGATAAGCTCCTCCACCTGCAACATCCAACCTACATGTATTAAAAACTCGTAATCTCCTGTGCCTGTGACATAAAACTATATGCACGAATCACTCGCAATCTCTTCCATCTGCATCACGGGCATATTCTTCTTCCCGTCTAAGGCATCTAACTCCAATTATGTTTTCAATTGATAGCGTTCCCTATACGCAGTGCAGTCAATTTTTCATCTCAAGTGAGGAATATGAACAGAATTGAAGGCAGTACACACGAGATGGTCCTGGTCGGTTGGCTGCTTGTCGGGGTAGGGTGTGAACTGCAGCGAGTACGGCGCTGGCTGCAGCAACAGCAGCACCGCGAACACAAAGTTATCATCGTGGTCAACCTGCGACGGTATGTACAACAGAAAACAGTAACATATAGAAGTATGTACATTAATATACACAACAGTGGTATATGGCAATGCATAGAGTCCTATGTACATTACAGCAGCAGTAACAGGAATGATATTGGGGACAGACGCAGAGTTGTCTTCATGGCCAGTCATATTGATATTGTCAATTTGCAGCAAACGTCTTCCCATTTGTACTCGTTTGTTCAACGGAATGCTTGTTATGTTGCATAATAATATGCTGCCTATGCAGAGTTGTAAATAAAGCCAGTCCCATCAAACGTATTGAATTTAATGACATTATGTTGTATTCAACAGTTACTATCTAGCAGTAATGCAAAGCGGTTAGCTAGCGCATTCTATACAGATCGCTTCATCACTGTGTTACAAGCGCGTCATATTCTCTGCGTCGAATCACCTGCCGTAACAAGAATTTTTCACCAACTCTAAATTGATGGTAAAATTGGTGATGGTAACCGGAACACAGGCTCTATAATGCTTTAATTTTAAATATTATGTCATTACTGGTTTTGATATTTTATGTTTTTAATTAGATATGATCGTTAATGACGTTAGATTGCCATTGCGATTCTTCAACTTAACTCACCACTTAATCCTATACCTAATTGTGTTATAATGGAAAAGTGTACTTGGAGCGAATGAATATACATATTAACCTGAATTTCAGGGATCCTTATGATGGAAGTTCCTGTTCCGTTGATGATGGCCCGGGCGAGATCCTCTTCAAAGTCCCGCACGTGCGTGTCGAGGCCTCGCTCCCATATGCCTGCATCATTACTGTCTTTAGAGAGGGCTTAGTTTCCTCTCCCATATGCCTGCATCATTACTGTCTTTAGAGAGGGCTTAATTTTTTCTCCTAAATGCCTGAATTATTACTGTCATCCCCAGAGTTTTCATCCCCGAATGGGATAGTCGATTAGAATAAAAGCACAATAATTACTAGATCTTTCGAGAAGGTTCAGTTAATTAGAAATGATCAATACGGAACTGCCTGCACCATATTTTAAAGTTGGTGCGAAAGAGTGTATGCTGGTATTTCCATTAATAGTTAACATATTAGGCATTTGATGGCATCAAGCCGCAATAAAAGAGGCACCTTCAAAAGTAATCTTGAGCCACGACCGCTGCTGCGGCAGCATAAAACATTCCCGCACGTCGAACTCGCCCATAGCGAACGAGTCCGACGCCAGACTCGAGAAGCCCAGGAAGTTGACGGCTTCTTCGGCCACCACGACTCTGGCGTCGTCAGGATCGTAGATGGTGACGTCGACCCGGACGGGATGCTGCACGCTGACGTCGTCCGCGTGGCCGATGATCAAAACGTCGCTCTGTGCCAGTAAACATCAGAGTGTTTATTATTTCAGAGTAATTCTCAGTGTTTATAATTGGAAATATTTCATACGACGATGGTGATCTGTGTATTGCTATAGTTATAGAGAGTATGATGGATGAAAAAATATAACTCAGTACTCACTGCAATGAGTGACAGACAGCGCATTTTCTCGTCGACGAAAACGTGAAGTCACGGACGGACATACGGACATGACGAGCATAATAGCGCCTATTTAGCGCTTTTTTTTCATTTATGGAAAAAAGGCGCTATTATGCTCGTCACGCCCGTCCGTCTGTCTGTCCGTCTGTCCGTCCGTAACCACGTTTTCGTCGACGAGAAAATGCGCTCTCTGTCACTCACTGCAATGATTACCGAGTTATATTTTTCCATAAATAAGAAAATGCGCTAAAAACGGCATCTTGATGCCCTTAACTTAAGGAAAAATTAGATCAGTACTCACTGCATGAGTGACAGAGAGCGCATTTTTCTCGTGCATAAATCAGTTTTCATTGCGATTAGTACAGTGCACTGCACCCAGTACATCCAATCTTCAATTAATCTAAAAATACAATCTAAATCCCGACACGTTTTAAAGTATTCTTAAAATCGACGAAAACGTGAAGTCACGGACGGACGGACGTACACATGACGAGCACAATAGCGCCTTTTTTCCATAAATGAGAAAATGCGCTAGAAATACAATAATTATCCGTTTTCAAAGTTAATCTAAGCAAATAATTCATTTTATTTGGGGTTTCAGCAGGCTTACATGGGACAATCTAAGCATAGTTGTTCATTTGTGCAGAACGAATAAATTTTATGCAAGTTTGATTGAAGACCAGAGCACGCTTTTTATTAACATTAACATTTTTTAAAAGCATGCTCTGGTCTTCAATCAAACTTGCACAAAAGAGAAGCTTCTGCCGAACTACACCAATTTTCAGACGAATAAATTCTATACTATTTGAGTGAGTTATGCCAGTATATTAATTAATTAGGACGATAATAGATATTCGCTCTTGAGTGCCTCTCACTCGGATGAAGTGGTAGTCGAGCACGACTTTCGGGTAGTTGCCGCCCTCGGGGTTGGGTATGTCATTGCGCGTTGAAGTCCATCTCTCGGTGAGCACACCTCGGGTCTACCCTACAGAGAGCGTGAGCCTTATTCGGAGAGTAGGCCAAATTATTACCAATGGCAATAGTCCCTAAATAGCAATTTAACGCAAAGCTACAAGGAATTACCCAGCCTATACACTGTGAGGAATTATGACTGACTCACACAATCAGACAAAAATCATGCAAATAAGATTCAGCGGATATTTATTGAAAATTTGTAATATACAGGACCTACTGGCGGTAATATGGCCAGTATAATAAGGCAGCTGATTCAGAATATTTATATACTGAAGTATATAAGAACAGAATGGACGAGGTGATGGCAATGTCGAAAATACGGAGGTTTAAATGATGTGGTATTCTTTGAAAAAAAGTTCCGTAATTGCGTTGCCCAGAAGAGTCCCCTATTACTGCAGAGTAAAAATAATACCCTTCATTAACCGATAAAATAATGCTACTTACATAATGAACAAATTATGAATGTGAAATAAATAATGAATGTACGTATGAATCAAGAATGAATAAATAAACCTAAGATTTGAATGCGTCTTAGCGCCAATAATGCAAATAAGGCTGCAAATAAGTAGAGAAGAAATCAGTAAAAGGAAGGCACTCAAGACGGAATAAAAGGCAAATGAATAGAAGTCCTAGCTGGAACTACTACCAACTCAAACTACGAAACTGAATACAACAAAACTCTAAATGCAATATACGCGAAAAACCACAACGAACGAATCAAAAGTAACAAAGAACAAAATGGACAATTGTGGGAAAAAAAATTCTCACAAAACTGCATCGAACTGACGATAATCTTGCAAGATGTATGGAAGTAGCGAAGCCTACTACAAGATGAACATGATACTGCATGTAACCCAGGAGCTCCCTGAGCCGTTCTGGCTCCATCTGTACGTAGTTCAGGCCTCATTCTTGTCAATTGAAGAACAGTCCACAAATATGCTCATGGTAATGCTTCGCATTAAATAGGAAATTGTAAAATCATTCAAGCAAAGATAGCAAAGGATTGAAGACCTACATAGCATTTGCAGTGCAATACTGTTTTTACTCCATGAAACTATATAACAAAACATAATTGAAAAAAAAAACATAGAGGAAAGCAATTGTATTAGAAATGAATTCGTTTTTTAATGAAGCAAACTTTTGGTTACTAGCATTAAGAATTGATTTCTCTCTCGAAAAACAAACAATATAGCGGTTACCCTTTTGACGCTAAAGTAGAATTAATCAATTGGAACATTTTACTCATGAAGGAGATCGAAGGAAAATGAGAATCTGTTTATAATAAGTTGTTAATAATATATTTACGTGTCGTCCAGATGGAAGAAGTGGTCGGGATCTGCCATTAAAATGTTGCCGACGACGCTACCCTCTGTTGAAGGAAATGCAGCGTTCAATTCAGTATCGGGTTTGGAGAGAGCCTTCGCAACCTTCTTTACTAATTACGATCATTATTGCTTATAAAAACTTCGTCAATTATTGAGAGGCGAGTAATGAGGATTAACGACTTTGTTGTATTTACTTATAATCATGGTCTAAATTGATTGTAATTACGACCAAAATTGCACTGAAACTTGTTGGCACTTGTTGAGTGGAGCCCTCGGAGCCGAACCATTTCCGAAGCCACGACTGCACTAAAAGTGATCGCTTCAAGTCTTCGGAATCTCTATGATCTTCATCTAACTGTGAGTGTGTCAGGTAGAACTATTACCACATTTCCTGCTCACCAACCACTGACGCTCAAGAAACTCACCTAAACTCCCGAAGTATCCTGGCTTGATGGGCGACATCTTACAGTCGCCGGTGTATGAGTTGATGGCGTACAAGATACCTGAACAAGAAGCATACGACTAAAAAATATAAAGTGGTTGTTGCTCAATACTTATAAAAATAATAAAGTTATTCTTATAGAAATATGCCTAGGATGGTCATAGTTGGGGTATCGATCGCTGTTAGAGATCCCATAGTAGAAGAAGTAGGGAAACAAACTGGCCAGCTTTGAAGGCAGAAGAAGGTATCCAAAGTTGGCCTTGATCGACTAGAACCTTCTTATTAAACTTATCATGTCAATAAATGCACCATTTACAGAGTTAATTAAATGAAAAGCTTACTTTCCGATGTTAATTTAATGGCTCCACCGCGCAGTTGCCTCAATATCGAACATAACGTATTGCAGAAAGAGCAAGACTTTCTACTGACCGGAGTCGTAGGCGAAGATGAGCTTCATGTCGTACTCGAGTTCCTCGACATCGTCTCCTTTTAAGTCGAAACGCAACAACTGGCGCGTGGTGTCATAGTACATCTGGTGGGAGGTAGGAAATGCTCCTGAATGTCATCGTACATCTTGATGGAGGTAAGAATGGTTCTTGAATGCTTAATATATCTAGATGGATGTAAGAACGCTTCTTGAATGTCATAATGCACCTGGATGGATGTAAGAACTGTTCTTGAATGTCATAGTTCTCTTTGGTGGGAATAAAAGCTTTTGAATGTGACGTAGTAGTCAGATGATAAAAATATATATATTTGTTTCAGCTCACTACCGTGTAATCTACTAGGCTTTAATGAACATCGGCTGAGTACATTTCATTGAACATTTCCGTGCATCCTCACCCATCCTCTGTAGACGATTTGTCCCGACTTATCGCCCAGGATGATCTCCATATGAGTCCTGAAGCCCAGCGGCAGGTCGGGCAGTTGCTTGCCCTCATCCAGCGACTTGCGACTGCTGCATTCCAGTCCCTTTGGAAGCTGCATCAACAAAACAATGTATTACTTTTTCTAACAGTGAGAGAATTTCTGAACTTTTGTTAATGCTTGGAAAAAATTCTATGAACTGATTTTTTTAAATATTAATCTAACTTCAACTTAATTATTTGAAAATTTTGACATGAAAAACTGAATATAAAGTTGAAGTATATTGAAGGAAGAAATCTCACCTCCAAATCCCTGTAGTGCTCAGGTGAAACGTCAGGCACGAAGTCCATGTAGTCGTAGAAGATGGACATATTCTTGTGGTCTAAAATGTCCCAAGGGTTCGTCTCCATGCCATCCACCTGCGGAACACAACCATTTGTTCCCTTTTCTCATAGAATAGAATAGAATAGAAGCGTCGACACTGAAGAAATAGGCCCATGGCCTGTTGCCGATTCTTGAACTTTTCGTGACTTGATTCACAAGGGATATGGCCTTTGGAACCCGATCTTTCTATAGCTGACGATTGATTGAGATAGCTGCTGGACTCATATTAACGTTTTCATCCTACCATCTTGATAATTGTACTTACAACTTGCTAATGGGTTTTTGCTAACTTTCCGGCAGTCAAAGCGATATTTGCCAATTTTTCTTCAATGTCGATCGTCCTTTATTTAGGAAATATGCATCACTTTAATTTGCTCAATCAATTGTCTAATACTTATAATAGCATCTTCTGATTTATCCGATCGAACATTTTTTTATCTCTATGTTGCCACCGCAAAATAGATTGATAATTCTAAGTACACCTACGGTATTTGTTTTATGACTTATGAACATACATATATTTTGGTGCTTGTCGACATCGAATTTTAAAATTTTCTAATTACTCAAACTATTTATGTTTAAATATTTTCCGTGTGAACGGTCCTTCAATCATTATTCTCGTATATGAAATTGTAATATTCCTTCATTTTAAAGTAATTTTTGTACGTTTGTACTGAAAGTTGCAGTCATATGGCTGATATTTGAAGTAATCAAGGCCGAAGTCTTTGAAGTGATCGTATGATGCCTATTTTAGTATACTCGTATTAATTCATTGCCTTTGCGGCAAACTGATTTCTCCTTTTACATTAGTGCAATTATGGACGAGCGTAATATCTTACTTTGCACACCTTTATCAACAGAGGCATTCTCATGCCGCCATGACCGATACTCCACTGCTGCACTGCAAAGTAGTAGCTGATCTTACTTTGCACACCTTTATCAACAGCGGTATTCTCATGCCGCCATGACCGATACTCCACTGCTGCACTGCAAAGTAATAGCTGATCGTGTAGCCGTCGATCGTGTTGGCTGTCCAGACATCGCTCGCTATGTCTCGGATTGTGTCGCTGCCTACATACGTCTGAAATTGAATCATAAAATAAAAAAAAACGAGCGCGGTGATATGAAGTGTAGAAAATAAAACATTTTCATTTAAAATACGCCAAAATAGTGTTCACATATAAGCATCAAAAATCGCCGCGTTGCACAAGAGTGTCCCAAAACTATTTTATTTTTAGTACAAAAAATCAGCCAAGCGTTGCTTGCTATACGCGTATATCACCATTAATCTTTGAACAAAATTTACAAGACAAGCAAGATAATAGTAAAAAAAGGAACCTGCAAGTTGATAATCAGATAAAAGTTTGGTCATTTGTACGAGCAGGCGTATTGTGGTACTCGTCCCACTTTGTAACATAAGAACTATTCAATGTGTTTTCGGTGGAATTTACATTCCAGCTTACAGAGTCATTTCATTGAATGATTTTTTCTGCACAAAAAAAAAATTTCAAATGCGATGTAGATCTTTCCTTAGAGCACGATGAATGTAACAATTGCAGTGAGAACTCCGCCCCACTGGCAGTGAAGAGTTAATGAATTACCGGATCTAAAATTTTCGCAGCGCTGAGCAGCGCAGACGGGCCGAAGAGGAAATTGTCGGGCTCGAACTGGTAGTTCCACCCATATAGTGGCTGGGGCTCCTTCAGCCTGTAGAGTGCGTGGTGAAAATCAGATGAAATGAAAGTGAATCATATCAATCATGCAGTTGTGAAATATATTTCAGCAATATTGATAATAAGTTGGGTGAAGAGACTAAACACTACTCGATGAAAAAATCATAAATCATTTTCAGTGAACATACAGCAGTGATCAGCTGAACTTTCAAGGCATATGCGTGGAGAAAGAATAACATTTAACTAAGCCACACATCATATAATTGTTCACTTTGCTCCTATCGGCTAGACTTTATTGTGTGTTAAAGACAGCAAATATTGCAAAACAATTTAATTTTTTTGCATTCAACCTAGGCCTACATTTCACATGAATGGCCATATTATGTTTCTTAGAAGAATATAGGTGTAGTCGCTCAACCGTGCTAGATAATATCCAAGAAAAACGCATATAAACGGAGAGGTATGTTTCAATACTAAAATTCTTCAATAAATGTTCGTATGAATTGGTCGTGCGTATGAAATCTTACGGGTAAGACTGGCAGGAATGGTTCGTTATAATGAACATCTGCTGGCTGCTCTCGTAGTAATGGTAGAAATTGTCCATGCCACCACCCGTCACCAACACGCGCCCGCTGCCCAGCGAGCGGTCGTACAGCTCGTCAATGGTCGCAGTCACTGGGGGAACCTGCATAAACGTTGATTCCTTTTAGGTGAGATTTAATTCCTAAATGTTTCCTACACGAGCGTTGAATTCCTTTTGGGTGATATTTAATTCCCAAATGTTTCCTGTACACGCGTTGAATTGCTTTTAGGTAAGATTGAATTCCAAAATGTTTCCTGCACGGGCGTTAGAATCCCTTTACGTAAGATTTAATTTCTAAATGTTTCCTGCACGCGCGTTAACTTCCTTTTCGGTAAGATTTAATTCCCAAATGTTTCCTGCGCGGGCGTTAAATTACTTTTAGGTAAGATTTAATTCCCATATGGTACCTGCATAAAGTTTACAATCCTTGTTAGCATAATTTCATCATCATCTGGTTCTTGCACAAACTTCTTATCAGTCTTTAAATTGTTCCTCATAATTATTATTAATTTGTATGTGCAATCAAACTATTTTTACAGCACAAATTTCACTGAAATCAGGCTCCAGGCCAGCAAAGTTTCTCGAAGCAGCCTTTCATAACTGTTCTACCATTTTTACCCCACCAAGTTCGCTTGAACCCTCAATAGAATTAAAGCTGCACTGAAGGTAAAAAAATAACATATAATAGAATCTGGGATATTAATTAGTTAACACTATACGAAACTCACCCCCTGAGGGAGTGACATCAGAATTTTGGCATGATAGGAGTGCTCCACGACAGTCCATACGTCGGGAAACTGGGGCTCGTCAGATGCCGCGGTTAAGTAATTAACCTCTGCCGTACAGTTGGCTTTCAGTAGAGAAATCAAAGTACAAAGGAGCTGCAATACGAGAAATGATTATCTTAAGGTATCAATTATGTGATCAAATGTGTTGTATATATGGAAATATCTACTTGAAAATTTTTTAGAAATACTTTTAGATCTCGACATAGATTTGAATAGGGAATTTTATCAGTTATTTTTTTGAAGCGAGTTTTTAGCCTTTCTCTATGAATTTATTGTAAGTACTTTGTAGGAAATTATTATGTGAACATATTTTAAGGCAATAATTTGTACACGTTTATGAAGTCATAGTTTACCACGCAGCGTAGATGGGCCATGTTCTGCACTCAAGTCTCGGCGAGCCCGACTGACATTTAGCTCTCTCGTCACGCCTCTCGCTGCATGGGCGGTACACCCGATACCTCTGATATACTTAATCGTGCTATCGGCGCATAGATCCTAATGAAACAAAGCCAAAGGCATTTTTTTGGTTTGCGTTATACACAATTTGAATTTATTCATAAACCCATTTGAAATATTGCGAGTCAAAATGAATAAACTCATCACTATGAAAAATGACTGAGTAGGAAATGAATGAATACAGCGTATCGTCAAGAAATCAAATTAGTAAGGATTCTAAATTGAGTAATTATCAAAAAACTATTAATTCTTGCATATTAGGCTTAAAAGCCCCTACATTGCAAAAGTTAGGAGGTTAACGGGCACCGGAAGGAAACAACATGAGTAATTTGAAAATCAATATCTATAGAATAGAGAAAAAACGCGATTTTTCGACTATATAAATTATTGTAGAAAATTAATTAAGACTTTGAGAGCTTGAATATAAATATTTTCATCGTTATTTATGTCGAAGTTCAGGGATTGCCACTAAAAAAAGTAAAGAATGGTTGCCTTATGTATGGCCTTATATATCCAAATCAATTTGTGTTTGTGACGTGTTCAGAAATCGAATGTACTAGAGCTTGAAATACTGATTGCGATGAAGTTATTAGCTATTTGTATAGGTTTTTGAACACTTGTGTAAAATAATTAAGGTAGTTTATCATTTCAATTTATTTTTGCGGATGATGCAGCATATGGGTGAAGTTCTCTCCGGCATCCGTATTCCGTAATCCGTCACACGGTTACAGCTCAGCCGCTCGGCCGCTGTTGTCTCGTCGGAAGCTCCGAACTTCAGCTACCGTGCTACGTGCAATGGAGCATATTGACGACGTTCAAAATGATGCAATAAACGCTGTTGACACAAAGCGGTATGTTTATATAGATGTTTGATGATTTATTCAATGTTTTAGTATACAATCTTGGATTGTGTGAGGCTGTGAATGATCTTTACATGAATTGCTGGTTTTGATATTACACATTCGTGACTAGGCTAGCCGGCAGCCGCTAGCATGTTGCCGGCCAATGCCGGGCCGGGTGGCGGGTGCGGCGTGTGACGGGTCCATGCGCTCCAATCTCCATTGACCATCCCGAATCCCGATCCCAATCTAAAATTTATTGGGCAGAATTTGGTAATACTTTAGATGGTATTATTGCAGATTAACTACATCCAAAAAAAAGGGTGTTTTTTTTTTTAATTATATGTTTTTTGGGGTGTAGATTACGAATCTGAAATCCATTTTTGGCGGTCGGCATCGGAAAACCGATTTTTTTCGCGACTTACTAACATGGGGGTTACGTAACTTAC